TTACAAGTCATCTTACCGAGCCACGATTAACATAAGTGAAATTAGAGCATCAGAGATAAAACACGTGTTTCTGCTCATTTACGGAACAGCCGTGTTGGCTTGGACGTAGCTGCTGCATTTCCTTTTCGTTTACGGTTTGCCGGGGTAAATGGGTTTCATTCTGCTCTGACTCTCATGTTTTATTTTTTTTTTACCAGGCAACAAAACATGATCTGATACAGACTCTCCATCTGTTTCCGTGGGTCAGGCTGACCCTTTTTGTTACTTTCATTTTAATTCAGCTCATCTCCTCTGTTACATTCCGAGTCCTTGTGAAACATAGCCATCAACAACGGGCATGCTGCTTAAACAGCAGGGAGAGGGGTGGGGGTGGGGGGGGGTCAAGTTTCTCATTAAAAATATTTTTCTAAAGTGTTTTAAATGTAGCGAAACCCCATCAGTATAATATAATAACTGAAAGGATGAAAGAGGAAACAAAAGCAGTGCCATCTAGTGGCTGGCTGCAGTGTCCCAACCTTTCATATTTGTGTTGACACCCCCTGATTAATGCAGCAAACGCCTCAAGTCAAATAAATACATCAGGTAGGAAGTACCTGATGATGTTGAGCCTGGCAGCAACAAATGACGTCTCACCTGCTGGCGTCCTGCTGTTTCTGTATCAAAGTCTGTCAGCTAAAGCAGCCAATCATCCGTTTTTGAGCTAAAGCCCAATAGACCAATCAGAGTGCTGCATCGTGACAAAGATCTATGCTCACATTGGTTGATCTGATCAGTTGAACAGTGTAACATTTGTTGTTCATGGTTTATCCTGCAGACCTCTGATGACTTGGTAAAGAATGAAGGTTTTAACAGGAATAAGGAGATATTAAGAGTTAATTAGGGTCAGAATGTTCATTTTTAATGCTGCCGACTTAGATCTCAACAATAATAGAGTCTCTGGTTTCTCCTGAATGATTCTGGATGTTTCTGCTTGGAGTGCAACTTCATTTTGATGTGTTTTATTAGTGATGCCATTATTCAACTGATTTTGTGTCTTTGAATTGCAAAGAACTGAATCAGCCTTTAGGAGCTTTTCTGGTCCGTTTCTAGTCTGAACTGTAAACAAAAGGGATTCGCTCAAATGCGGGTTATTAAAAATAATAAACAGATGTTAAATAATTCAGTGAACAATCGGTTTACTTTATAGACAATACTTTACTGGCGACACTAGTAGGTATTTAACCTCTCTGCTGGAAGCTTTGAAGTTCAGGGAATGAACTTGTTCTCTGATTTTGTTCCTTTACAAAAAAACTTTAACTTTATATCAAAGTCAGCAGATTTTAAAGGAACGGGCAGCTCTTTGAAGGAAAGCAGGAGGCTTTGATGAAGGAATAAACCTGCTTCTTTCTACAGCTAGTCAACAATCCTGCACGTTTCTCCCCGTCTCTTTCCTGTAAGAGGTCCTCAAGTCAGTAAAAACAGGTGAAACGAGCTCCACACGACCAAAGTCCAGACTGGATTCACATCAGCAGAGTGTGTTCCTCCTCACTCAGTGAGCTGAATAATTTATAATAATCAACATCTTTAGCTGTCAAAACATCATTTAGCTTTAAAGGAGCGTGCAGCAAGATGCTTTTGGTCATTTTGTTATTAAAGGCGCTCAGAAACATGCAGAGGGGCGACTAAAGACCTGCTGATTAATTGTTTTGATATTAAGTCCGTGCGCACATCCTCTTGAATGCAACACAAAGGCTTCTGGGGCTGATGGAAGCATCCAGAGTACAGCTTCAAAGTATTTTCTTCTTTTTTTGTTTGGTTTTCAGCTCTTGATGAATCTCCTTCTATTCAGTATTTTACTCAAGATAATTTAAATGCATAAAAATAATCTGGATTTTTTTATAAGCTTCATTGAAATATTTTTGATGCATTCAGTCAATAAAGAAATTTCATTCTATTAAATGTATAAAGTAAAGCGTTCACACGTGCTGCTGCACACCTTGTGCATCAATAACGTGTAATTAAACTTTCTGACAGTGTTTTTGTTCTTTTAAATTCCAACCGCTGGCATGCCATAATGGGTGTCAGTAGTGCAGAGTGTAATTCTGCATCGCCTCTTGGGTTTGAGACAGCTGCGCTCGTCTGCGTGGATGTGGTGAGAGATGAAGCAGCAAAACAAAACAAGAAAAGGCAGAAAACGTAGTGTTCAGTTAGATCTGAGCGCCTAAAATGATTCCTACAGGCAACGCGCTGCCCGGCAGCTTCATCACCTGTTTCAGCTGATTATGCAGAGAGAAAATATCCGATCAGCTCTGCTGTGATTTATTTTTTAATTAAAAAAGTGAATTTAGTTCATGTTTCAGGCAAATATCGAGTTCAAAAACAGTCCAAATCAATGTATTTGATTTGCAGAACAGCCACACACACACACACACACACACACACACACACACACACACACACACACACACACACACACACACACACACACACACACACACACACACACACACAGGCGGCTTACCTGTGCAGGGTTCCTCCGGTTCCGGTGCTGTGGAGCAGTAAATTCTCAGTGCGAACCGAACGCATGTCCCTCTCAGCCGTTGTGTGTTTTAGTCTGAAACAAGCGTGGAGCTCATAGATGAATGAGCGGGAGGAGGAGAAGTTGGAGCAGCTGAGCCGCGCGCCAGGAGCTGTCCATGGTACTGAAAAACAACAGGCTCTCGGATTCCTGGAGGTCTGATCCAACCCTCACAAGTCACGTCTGAAACGAAACGCACCTGACGCCCACTTCGTTCCCATCTCGCTCAAGGGTTCGGGTTAAAAGGTGCCGTCGCATCAACCATCAGACTGTCGGGTTTATGCAGCAAAGGAAGAAACAAGTTATTTTTAACTCGAGGGAATCTCCACTAATCAATCATTTGAAACGTTTCAGCTGCTGCGGATGCGCCAGCGGCTTTTCACACCCACTAACTCTACTTTTACGCAGCCGCAGTCCTGGAGATGCGCTGTGCCAATTTCACATTACGCAATTCTGCGCGTAATGGAGACGATCATGTGGGTTCCTTCAGTTTTTTAAATCCATCCGCTGCGGGGGACTTCAGGAACCGGTGCCTATTTGTCGAGGCGCTCTGGAGGAGGGCTCGGTAACCTTGGCAGGCAAAACAAAAACGGCCTTTGGAGACTGATTGTCGTCTCTGGTGGTGAGAATGTCTTCAGTCCTCAGACAAGTTGTGACAAGGCACCAGAGGAGTGAGAGGTGAAGCTCTTCAGGAACACGGGACCCTCTTTTGTCTCCAGTCATGAATTGCATCTATACACACACACTCCCCCTCCACAGGCTCGCGGTGTGATGGGATCAATAATTAAAATCATGGGAGGGCAGTAATTTTCCTCTCCTCCAAGCTGCATGACAACCATGTGAGTCTCGCTTGTGTCATTCTTGTCCCGTCCCTGTCCCACGGTGGGGGCTTCTTTGTGCCTTTGGACAGAGGTTGTGGGTGCCAAGACCCAAACTGAAAATGTAACTGACGTGCAGCGAGGGCGTCTGTCCCGGCAGACTCATCACACCTCTGCAGGCAGAGTGCTACCAGAGGTTAGTTAGGGAGACAGCTGCATGGAGAGATTGTTTTGGGTCACTCTTCTGGACAACAGGATGATGACATAAACAATTTCAGGCGTTTTGTTTTTGTTTTGTTTTTACTCTGAACTCTGGTGATTTGTGCACCAGGCACAACCTCTAGTCATGTGATCTGCTTTCTGTATTAAAGGAAATATTTGCTCCTCCTGCATCATTAAACCAACTCCAGAAGAGACCAAATTTCATTTCATTTTCAAAAAAGTGGAAATTGGAAGGTTTGGATGAGAGACATCAGGTTTGTTAGAATATAATAAAATCAAATCAAATCGCTTTTATTGTCACATCACATGTGCAGGTACACTGGTACAGTACATGCGAGTGAAATTCTTGTGTGCGAGCTTCACAGCAACAGTTGTGCAAAATACAATAACGTAAAAACAAGCAAAATATAAAAATGGTTAATCTAAGTAATAATATATGTAGTATGTAAGGTATATACATTCCTAAATGTGTGTGCTAAGTATTTTATTTTTCTACGTGTGTGCATGTGAGTGTGTGTATAATGCGTATATACATATTTTATAAATGAATAAAGTAAACAATAAGATAAGAGATATAAAATGTACAGAGGCTGGTATGTGCAAAACAGTGGCATTAATGTACAGTATGGAGTGTGTAATGTTGGAGTTTCAGTAGTGAGGGTGAGGTGTCTGCTCCGTGTTCAGCAGTCTGATGGCCTGATGGAAAAAGCTGTCTCTCAGTCTGCTGGTTCTGGACCGGATGCTGCAGAACCTCCTTCTTGATGGAAGTAGTCTGAACAGTTTGTGGCTGGGGTGACTTGAGTCCTTGATGATCCTCCCCGCTTTCCTCAGGCACCGCTTCCTGTAGATGTCTTGGAGGGAGAGAAGCTCACCTCCAATAATCCTTTCAGAGGATTGTCACAACTTGTCTGAGGACTGAAGACATTCTCACCACCAGAGACGACAATCAGTCTCCAAAGGCCGTTTTTGTTTTGCCTGCCAAGGTTACCGAGCCCTCCTCCGGAGCACCTCGACATAAAACTGAATAGAACAGACTTTATTAATCCCACAGTGCGGAAGTTCACTTGTTACAGCAACACTTACAGAGTAATAGAAAAATAATAACAAAGGTACATGTACTGTATATACACATAGGCTGTAATCTGTAACTTTCAACCACTAAAAACTATGAATAAATGAAAAACTTGGTTTCCAGAACTATGCAGCAGAAGGGACAGACATACGACGTAAATCTAGTTTTGCACAAGTATTAAACACCTACTGGATATTGCACTGGTGTTATTGTGTACCAGGATAATGCCAGTACCAGTTAAACCGAGGAGTTATACACTCTTAAAGCAGAGGGGATGGATGACCTACGGTTGTGCTGTTTTCATCTGAGATGTCTCAGTCTGCCTCTGAGGGAGCTGTCCATGGTCTCCACAGTAGGATGCAGCATGTGGGAGGGTTTTTTAAAGATGGAGGTCCTCTATCCCAGCATCCTCCTTTCACCCGTCTCCTCAACTGTATCCAGTGGGCAGCTCAGAACCGAGCCAGCTTTGTGAACTGGCTTGTTCAGTCTCTTCCGGTCTCGGTCAGAGCTGCCTGCAGCCCAACAGACCACAGCGGAGTGATAAAAGGATTTTAGCAGTTTATCCGTTTGCTGTTGAGATGAACACCCAGGTACTTAAAGGTATCCACCACCTCAATGTCAGCACCCTGGATGTTTACTGATGAGTGAGGAGGAATGTTTCTCTGGAAGCCAATCACCATTTCCTTTGTCTTACTGGTGCTCAAGCCAAGATGGTTACGCTCACACCAGTCCACAAAGACCATGATGACTGACCTGTGCTCCTGGTCCTTCCCCTCAGACACACAGTTAGTTAGGATGATGATTTGTTTATTTATCATTATTGATGATTTATCGATATCATGATCTAATTGTTGTTATAGATATTTTAGTGAACAGGTGAAACAAAAAAAATTGAATATGGTGCAAAAGTTCCTTTATGTCGGTAGTTCAGCTTAAAAGGAGACAGACTCATTCCATGCAAAGTGAGATACAAGTCTTTATTTGTTCAAATGTAGTGATGATAGCTTACAGTTTATGAAAACCCCACATTCAAAATATCAGACAGTTAGAATATTGTGAAAAGGTTCAACATTCTGGATTCAAAGTGTCACACTAATCAGCTAATGAATCCAGAACACCTGCAAAGTGTTCCCGAGCCTTTAAATTGTCTCTCAGTCTAATGGGCCATTCCCATCTGTACCGGGTCGGCCCGGGCCGGGTAGCCCCAGTCGGCCCCAGCCTGGCCCGGTTGATTCCACACATCCTTGTCTTAAGCCCATGTGGGCTGATTCTACCCACCAATCAGAGGCTTGCTCTAATGGAAGGTGTGAATTTGCTGTCAGCAGTGGGTGTGTTGGCCCTTGTCGGCCTGAAGCAGACCCCCTCGAGAAGAGGGCTGAGAATGAGCCTTGATTGGCCCGGAAAAATACCAGGCCACCCAGATATGTAAACAACCTACGCTACCCGGCCCGGGCCGACCCGGTACAGATGGGAATGGCCCATAAGATGGATTACTGACGTAAATGGACTTTAGCATTATATTCTAAATTTACCAGCTTCACCTGTCTTATTGTCCCAGTCTTCGAAAGATTTTGCTTGTTTGATTGATTCTTCATTCTTAATAAAGATTAAATTAAATGTATCTTTGGATTTACTTTCAGCTCATTTTGTTTAATGTGGATTTAATCTTTGTGAAACAGATTAGCAGAGGTGTGGCCAAGTCACTGCTTTGCAAGTCACAAGTCTTTCCAGTCAAGTCTTAAGTCAAGTCCAAGTCAAAGACAATCAAGTTCAAGTTGAGTCCAAAGTCAATGATGGGGAAGTCCAAGTCAAGTTCAAGTCCTTAACTTTACATTTTCAAGTCATAATCAAGTCATCTGTTCAACTTCAATTTAATGATGATAATAAATAAATTCCAGAAATAAAGCTTCTTAACCCTCCCGATGTTTTTATGGGTGACCCTGCGAGGAAAGTTGACCATTGAGCAGGATTGATGGTTTTACCTTTGAGGTCCATGTGGCAGGGGTGAGGGGGTGCTCACTCCTCACCCCTGCCACATGGAAGGGATAAACCATCAACCCTGCTCAGTGGTCAACTTTCCTCATGGGGTCACACCCATTAGGGCAGTGGGAGGGTTAAAGCTTCATTTATTTGCTCAAACAAGCAGAAAGAACAACTGAAACGGATTCTAAACAAAGTGCTGCTGCAGTTAGCAGAACAAGATCAAACCCAGAACCAAAAATGATTTATGATTTTTGTCCACGTCGGGTCACTTTTGTGCTAAAATATCAAATATGCTCAAGTCATCATCAAGTCAATAGATGCAAGTCGATTCCAGTTGCAAGTCATAGGCATTCAAGTCCGAGTCAAGTCGTAAGTCTTTATAGATTTTATCAAGTCAAGTCAGAAGTCATTAAAATAATGACTCAAGTCTAACTCGAGTCCAAGTCATGTGACTCGAGTCCACACCTCTACAGATTAGTCATAAATAAATAAACCCAGGGCTGTGGTGGTGCGTTTGGCAGCACGGTTGTATCACAGGTTCGATTCCCAGCGGCAACCTTTCCACATGGGGTTAGCATATTGTCCCTGTGCATGTGCTTTATTCTGTGTACTGCAGTTTCCTTCCACAGGACGAAAATGTGCATGTCAGGTTAGTAGAAGACACTAAACTATCCCTGTGATGAACTGGAGCTCTGTCCAGGGTGACCCCCACCTCTTGCTCGAAGACTGCTAGAGTTAGGCACCAGCGTCCAGTCACGCTTGTCAGGAAATGAGATCAACCATATTTTATCTTTGAAAAAGAGATGAATGTTTTTTTCCCATCACGGCAGTATTTTTACGTTGGATGACAAGCCTTCGCCTCACTGCTTCTGTTGATCCACAACAATACAGCTCCGCTTTTACGACACACACAAACATGTCATGCGCAGTGGAAAGTATTCAGACCCACGCCATTTTTTCACTCTTTGTTGTTGTGCAGCCATTTGCTAAAATCAGTTAAATTCATATTTTCCCTCATTATTACACACGGCACCCGTTATGGACAGAAAAACACTGAATTTCAGAAATTTCTGCAGATTTACTAAAAGACAAACTGAAATATCACATGGTCCTAAGTATTCGGACCCTTTGATGTGACACTCGTATATTTAACTCAGGTGCTTTCCATTTCTCCTGATCATCCTAGAGATGGTCCTACACCTTCATTGGAGTCCAGCTGTGTTTGATTACACTGATAGGACGTGATTAGGAAAGCCACACACCTGTCTATATAAGACCTTACAGCTCACAATGCATGTCAGAGCAGATGAGGACCATGAGGTCAAAGGAACTGCCGGAAGAGCTCAGAGACAGAAGTGTGGCGAGGCAGAGATCTGGCCAAAGTTACAAAAGATCTATGCTGCCCTAAAAGTTCCTAAGAGCACAGTGGCCTCCATAATCCTTAAATGGAAGATGTTTGGGACATCCAGAACCCTCCCCAGAGCTACCGGGAGAAGAGCCTTGATGAGAGAGGTAAAGAAGACCCCAAAGATCGCTGTGGCTGAGCTCCAGAGATGCAGTGAGGAGATGGAGAATGTTGTAGAAAGTCAACCATCACTGCAGCCTTCCACCAGTCAGGACTTAATGGCAGAGTGGCTCATCAGAAGCCTTTCCTCAGTGCAAGACACATGAAGGCCTGCATGGAGTTTGCTAAAAAAGACACCTGAAGGACCCTGAGATGGTGAGAAATAAGATTCTCTGGTCTGATGAGACCAAGATGGAACTTGTTGGCCTTAATTCTAAGCGGTATGTGTGGAGAAAACCAGACACTGCTCATCACTTCTCCAATACAGTCCCCACAGTGAAGCATGGCGGTGGCAGCATCTTGCTGTTGGGGTGTTTTTCAGCTGCAGGGACTGAATGATGAAAGGGATATCCTGGACCAGAACTTTCTCCAGAGTTCTCAGGACCGCAGACTGGGCAGATGGTTTACATTCCAACATGACAATGACCCTAAGCACACAGCTAAAATAACAAAGGAGTGGCTTCACAGCAACTCTGACTGTTCTTGAATGGCACAGCCAGAGCCCTGACTTAAACCCAACTGAGCATCTCTGGAGAGACCTAAAAATGGCCGTCCACCAACGTTCACCATCCAACCCGACAGACCTGGAGAGGATCCCCAAAGCCAGCTCTAAGAAACTTGTTGCATCTTTACCAAGAAGACTCATGACTCTGTTAGCACAAAAGGTGCTTCCACTAAATACTGAGCAACGGGTCTGAATACTTAGGACCATGTGATATTTCAGTTAGTCTTTTTCAATCAATCAGCAGAAATTTCTACAATTCTGTGTTTCTCTCTTAATACGGGTGTTGTGTCTACATTTAGAACAAAATATGAATCCAACTGATTTTAGCAAATAGTTGCAATATAAGAGTGAAAAATTGAGGGGGATCTGAATATTTTCCATACCTACTGCATCTGAGCCACCAGGGTTAGTGTTATTATTGAAGCATAGGGAACATTACAGAGGAGCTTCTTTATGTGTTGGTGACATCACGGCTTAATCCACACAGTCATTTTATTAAACGTGTTTATATACAGCATTCAGTAATTCTGTTAGTTTTACTATACTTTACGCCTCTTTTCTCTCCTATAATGAATGTAATGACTGCTAACACCAACATTTCCCCACTAAGAGACAATAAAGGGATTTTTTATTTTAGTCTATGCTGTCTAGGTCTTTGTGGATTTATTATAATGTAAAGACATTTAGAAGCAATGGCTTTTAAATCAGTGGTATTTTTATCTGTATTTATTAGGGTTATGGAACGTTAGGGTTAGAGTTCGTCTGTGTAAAACCCTCGAGTCATCAGTCCTGTTAAATGAGTTTTAGCATCTTAGCCCAAACCTTTGCTCTTGTACATCCTGATACTGACTGAAGGCTACAGAACAGAACATGCATCAGAAGTGTGACTTTCACAGCTGTTGACACAGATGTGAATAAATCCCAACCCAGACTCAAGACTGATGGAACGTGTTTTTGGTACGGTGGTGCTTCTGTAATGTTCCTGAACACATTCATGCTCCCCGTTTTGCCCTCTGATGAAAGCATCTGGATGAGCCGAGGGAATTTCCTTCCTAATGGAAACCTAAAGCAGTTTGAGTTGCACTGAGAATCCTCCAATCTTGTTTTTTCTTCGGTTCTCCTTTCATTTGCAGCCTCTGCCTTCATATCTGTGCCCAAACAAAGCAGCAACACCAGCAATCATCCCGTTGTTAAACCTTGAACACGGGTAGCTGTGAGTGCGGTCTTAATAACTAAGGAGGAGCTTACAGTCTCATCAACAACGCTGCTGCCCGCCCACACACACACACACACACACACACACACACACACACACACACACACACACACACACACACACACACACACACACACACACACACACACACACACACACACACACACACACACACACACACACACACACAGTTACATCTCCTGTAGCTGCTGGGAAACACACAGACATACATGTTTGCAGACAGGAGATGAAACGATGTGCCTGTTGCCGTGGAAATCAAGCCACACTCCAGAGGAGGCTTGAAAAACGCGCGTGTGAAGCAGATTCATAATTCTCCAGTAAACGTTTGGTTTGAACTTTTTATTCCACACAGAGAGACGAACATGGTTTTCTTCATTTCTAACACAACAATGTTAACTTACAAACATGTGACAGCTAGTCTCTGGTGGAGAGTAACTTCTGGCTGCCAGAAACAGAAAGTAAAGAGTGATTAAACAACCCAAGAACAGAGATGAAATTGCATATTAAAGCAACTATTTGTTTCTCATTTTTTCAAACCCAGAATGCAGCAGGACCAGGATGAGATCTATAAAGCAGCAGCAGCAGGTCTACACCCCATTGGTGCTGTAACTCCGCCCACCACAGTCAGGACGCGTCTCCTGGATGTGGGCCAGAGACGTGACCCTGACAGGTGGGTCTGACGTTATTGTGATTAAATTATGAAGTGACCTACTGTTGGAGTTTAAATAGATAAATGAAGAAGACCTTTGTCTAAAAAGTGAGATTTTGTTATATAAAAACAACAGGCTTCATATAGAAATGTAGAGGGTGCAGAAACATGAAGGCGTGAGGAACTTTAGACGCACCAACATGATTACTCAAAAGACCAACCACAGCACAGCCGAGGACCTCTCTAGCATGCCGGTGATGCATCACTATGTCCCTCCCTACGCCTCGCCTTCTCTCAGGGGTTCCTTTTTCTCAGACACCAGTTCAGCTGCTTCTCTACCTTGACCTTCTCCCTCAGGAATGCCTTCTTCCCTCCCATCTTCCTCCTCCTCCCCCTCTTCCTGCTCTTGCTCCTCCTGCTCCATGTCGAGTTCTTCAAAGGACGAGCCGCTGCCCACAGAGTTGCTGGAGCCTCTGTCGCTGTGGTCCCTGAGCTTAATGTCTTCGTTTGTGTCCATTATGTCTCTCAGGGGCAGAGAGGAGGCCAGAGAGGCAGCGGTGGAGGCTGCCAGGGACGTCTCTCTGCTGTCCCACGGCACGCCGCCGCTCACTGAGCTCACGTCGCTGTGGGAGTCTGCACCTGCAGCAATGCAGACATACAGACAGATGCGTGAGTAAAAGTTTGTTTAGCATCTTTAACGGGTGGGAATCACAAAGTGCTTCAAAATAACTGCACAAAAATATAAACATGATTAGAAATAACAACATTACGGATAACTAAAAACAGATAAAAGTCAGTGATAACGAATCAGCAGTACAAAAAGGCTTTGATAAGAAAAGTCTCCAGCTGCTTTTTTAATATAAAATAGTAAGGAAGTGCATCCTTTGGTCAAAGACCTGGTCTTGGGAATGATTTGGATTTGAGGGTTGGCTTCCACGATTAAGAGTTTGACCAATCAGATCACTGAAAGTTAAAGTTTAAAACCGCAGCGGAGGGAGATCTTCTGCTTGCTCCAGAAGCAAGGAGCCTCACTGCATAGAGATCTGATCTCTTTTTGCTTAAAGGTGAGTTACAATAATCTAGATGGTAGGACCTAGATCTGGTGAAAACAGGAGTGGACCTGAAACACGGCCTTGTGGATCTCCACATAGCAGATGAGTAAAACTGTAAACTCCCCCGATCAGCCACAACATTTTATAGATTCCTTTCTACTTTTAATGAAAGATCACACCTGTGACTATTTGTCCAAACTGGGTTTATAAACTACGACTGTACTGTGGGAGAATGGAGGAAGTCATCCTGGTGTTAAAGCCTCCTAGCCAAAGTCACAGAAGAGTCATTAAAATGTTAGTTTTCCTGCTGAATCTCATCACATGACTGTAGTTTTGGGGACTAGAGGAAGTCATCCTGGTGGTTTCTGCAGCATATTGCTGATCTGTAATCATAGAGAGCAGCCATTTGTTAAATTGATGGAGATTTCCTCACCGACATGGATGGGTTTGCTAATGCTCTCCGTCTAAGCCTGAATCTAATTGGCCTTTGATCTATGCTTGACTGTGACCCAATCACCATTCGTTATCTCTGGTTGTGTGTGTGTGTGTGGTGGTGGTGGTGGTGGGGGGAGATGAGCTGCACAGAAGGTTACCGTTGGAACGAGCTCAACAGGACAGCTGCAAAAATAACAAAATGCATGACAGAATAAAGAACTGGCTGGGAAGCTGAAATGATTTGTGTCCAGCTATTCAGGGTCTGTGGAGACGTGAAGCTGGACGACAAATGAAAAGTATCAGACTTGCCTAAAATTGCAAATGAAACCAGAGTAGGTGTCAGCTCAGGGAAATCATACCTCCCACCTACACAAGAAATAACACCGAGTGTTCACACCACAAGCGGTCGCCTCGAACAGGAGAGCGAAGGAGGGAAAGAGTGTGAAGAAAAATCCAAGTTCATGACTTACAGTCACATTCAGAAACACACGTTCAAGCCAAGAGTGTGTTGGGACATTTAATCATTTATTGCTGCTGCTGGGGATCAGAGCATGTAGCTATACTGAACCTCACTGTTCCTCTGTTGTTTCAGACAACTGAAATAACACACACACACACACACACACACACCTGTGTGAGTGTGCACTGACTACATCACCAGGGACATAAACATAACAAACACAGAGTCATGGACATGCCCATTAAGGCTGGCCTTTTATTTTCCTTCATTTGAATCACAGCAATCTAATTATCACTTCCAGCGTATCGGGTCCTGTCCACGATGCAGAAAATTACACATCAGTCTAGATTTTTATTTAGAATAATATCTATTTCTGGGGGTGTTAACTGGACAGCGAGTCCAAACCAAATGAGTGGGACATGTCCTGGGAGGGACAGGCACGGTGTGAATGTGATGTGACGTGATGGTTCCAGATCAGCCAGTGGGATGATGTAGGGATTCTGCTGGTTGGAGGCATCTGAAGAGGCACGTGTCGTGATGCAAGGACCCTAAAATCGAAGGAATTTTACGGGTAATCATGGATCTTTTTAGGGTAATTGGGCGAATGGCCCTCCGAGGAACAGCCTCGACACACTTGGTAACTTTCACGTCTCCTAAAGCTGGAAGCAGGTCCTGAAATTAGTATTGTGGTTGGAGCCTTTGAACGGCTTTTGGATTACATTTGCCTAGTTTAGTCATTAAATTGGGCCCATTGGGATTATTGCCAGTGAATCAAGGTCTTGTTCTTCAAACTGTCTGAAACGGAGGATTTTAGGGAGGTAATTAGATGCAGGAAGGCCGAGGCGTGATGCGAGTGGAAGGGTAAATCAGATAAAAATGCGTAAACAAAACCTGAGAAGTGATAAAGCAGATGGATTGTGTTGTTTACGACTGAGACCCTGAGCAGGAGCAGCATTTAGGGAAACTCGTTATGGGATTCTCAGCGTAAACACACGTTTGTTGGACTGTGTATTGCATAACATGTTTTATTAAAGAATCTATGGATTTTAACAGATAAAAATTAAGCATTAAGACATAAATACAGCTAAAGGTTGTGTGTAGTGTTACAACCCTGTGATAGTACAGCTTCTGTTTGGTTTTTGTATCAATGAGCTCGTCTCCAATTACATCCTAGACCTAAACCAAATCCCAGCTCATTTCCTCCCCCAGTCTGGTTAGGTGGAGGATTATTTCCTGTTTGGGTTTTTTAGGCGTTACTTTGGCGGGACAGAAGGTAGTGTGTTTGCTTTTTCCATGCATTCAAAAGTAATTTTTGATAAATGATCTACTTTAACAGACAACATCTCTAATTTGATAACTTGGGTAGGACTTTCTACACCCCCCACATGCCTAGACAGTACATTTACTAATATGGCAAACTGATCCTAAATGATCTGGTACTTTTACATCGCTTGACAAGGTCAACATTAAAATGATTCAAAATCCAGTTTTAATGAAAACTGTTAAAGACCGACTCCACTTGTTTTTGTTGTTTTTACATTTGCAATGATATCTAATAAATTAATACCTTGTGAGTCGATCTACGTGGGGGAAAAAAAGCTCTGGCGCTCCTGTTTCAGGAGGGGTAGAAGTTAGCTAGAGAAGAGATGAGCAGAAGACGGCAGGATTTGGTGTCTTACTTCCTGATGTTTGGACATCTCATCTCTGATTGGCCAACAGCAAAACAACTCCACTACTGACTGTTTGCTTTGCAACGTTGATGTTTTATCTCAACACAACCCTGGAGGAGTTATGTTGTGTGGTGGAGTTGCTAATGCGAACAGTTAGCTTCTACTCACAAAGATATTCTCTGCTGTTTCCTGGTTGCTAAACCAACAACAGCCTTCCCCGATATGATTCAAGATGGGTGAGTCTATAAATGTTAAAGGATGAATATGGAACAATTGAATAAAAAGCTACATTTAATTTAAAATAAATATTACCTCCCCGGGGCGTTTAGAGGTGTGCAGAATGAAGGTACCGTACAGTATTTCCTTTAAAAGCTATATTTTAATTAAAAAATAATTAAAATATGTTTTTTGACGGGCACAACACTGGGTTTATGTTTACATCTACCAGCCACTGGAGGGCACTGTTGCACTAAAACGTCCGCTCACCAAGTCAAGGCTGAGACTGCGTAAAATGGCGGACTTGACAAGTCAAGCAGCTGATTCTGAGCCCACAAGATGTTCTAACAGTAAATACTGTTGTTAAAACAATTTTTTTTGTAGAAATTAGTCCTTATCCTGTACAAATTATCGCTGAGCATGGTGCTAGAACATTTCAGCAGTGAACCAGCGGCTGGAAAATCAGTTCTGTCATTGCGATACCACCTCTGAACACCAGAGATCGCCAGAGTGTCCATGTTCCATATTCAACCTTTAAAAGGAACCCAGGTTACAAAAGATAAATGTTAGTATCAGTTGTAACAAAGTGGTGTAAAAAACCTTCTTAATGTCTTCATTTTTATAAAATTTGTAAAAACTGTTTAACTCGTAGGTCGCCATTGTTGTTAGGGTTAGGGCACTCTGGGTAGTGACGTCACATGGTTGTCCCTCGGTTGCACCGGCCGGCTATGGGACCCTGTAGTGACCGTTCAGCGACATCAACATGTCATCTGTTCAGCCTTTTCAATCTGAACCAGAGTGAAACATTAATGAGGACATCACTGACCATGTTTCACAAAACGAGCATCAAAATGTAGAGCAAGAAGGGCGGGATGAAGCAAGAGCAGGACAAAACCGGTGGTGTGTGTGCAGCAAATGTGTGCATTTGAATTGAATTGAAGAAAAATTGTGGCGTATTAGGGCATGCACATCCTCATAGCAAGAGTTCCTTTTAAGGGGCAGTGTGAGGTAGATATGTCAGGCTTTTTCTGAACTAGTCAGTTCACCGTCTTTTTTATATCTGCGGCGAATGCAGAAAATAGGTGTAGAAGATTATTGTCATGTTCAGCCTGTGTGTTAAAGTCAGTGATCGATCAAATAACTTACTTATTAGTGAACTGGGCTGAACTGAAAATGGGAAAAAAGTTACTAATAAAATTATCAATCTCTTTATTGTTCTCTTAACCTCTTACACCCGACAGTTTCAAAGTCATTTCTAAACCACGCTTAATGTTCACCAATATATGCTAACTACACACGTACATAACGGGAAGAAGCTAGTCTAAACAATTAAGACATCATTTTCCACCTCAGCAACATCTAATTCACACACTGAGCCTTTAAAAACACAATAAGCATGTCTATTTATTTAAACACAAACAAGAATCCAGAAACAACAGAACAACTTGAGTCCGTTTGATTTCCTGTTTAACACACACACACAAAATAGCTATGCAATAGCTATGCAACTTAAAATTCATTTTCCTGTTGTGATCAGGTGAACTGCAGCTCTGATGAGCTCAGAGCTTCCATCGTTTCACTTTAACCCTGTTTAGTCTACTTGTTTCTGTGAAGATTCATAAAGCCTTTGGTCCTTTTTTGTTTTTACAGTTCAAGCTCTCGTGGATTCGTCTTTGTGTCAGCCCTGAGAAGATTCAAGCCCAACAGTGTCTTCACTCTCACAAGTGCTACTCTGACAATATCTGGCCAAATAAATAAATAAATAAAATCAGGCCAGACAGTATATGTGCCAGGGTCAACTGTGGT